TAAATTAATTACAACAATGCATAGAGCATTAATACACAAGGGTTGCATGCACAAGGTCCCAGAACAGCACTGTCTGCCTAGATCATTCTGTTTCACCTTTAGCTACTGCTTTCTGTTTTCTGTAAAAATATACTACTGACCAAACATTGAGGACCAATCGGCCCTCAACGAAGCCTAGTCGGGCCTAAAGAAGGCCAAGCGTGCCTCAATTTTGTGCAAAACTCTGTTTTGTGTATTGAAGTGAAAACAGTGCAGACATAATGTTCTGAACTCTGTTTGTCCCTTTCACACTTCTTTGTCATGGGAAAGCCTCGAGAGAATGTTGGAGTTGTTTCCAAAACCATCAATGAGCAAATTGATTGCTTGATGATTTCGATACACAACTTGGACAAAAATCAATAAATGAAATGAATAACAACCACCCCTCCCTCCTATCATGGAGTGAACTCAAGAGAAGGAGGTAGAGACGCTTTAAGGTTCATCAAGACATCATGAATTGATGTAAGACAACCCTTGACACAACGGATTCCGCATAACGTCCGGTCAAACCCCAAGCAATATAACTCATCTTCTTTATGCGAGTTGATTCATTTTAAGCCAAATTCATTAGTCTTTGCCATCCTTTAATCCATTAAGTCCAAGATGATCGTTATGTCCACTAGAGATTATGTCCACTAAGTGAGAAATATGTCAAACGGGAGGGATTCTCAACATGAAAAAAGAGACTACACCGTTGGCAATAAACCTCCATAGAGATTAAGCCATTAAGCGTAAATCGCTAGTTCACGTTTTGAATAACCGTCAACCGATTGAAACAACTCTCAAATGAAAGAGATGAATGACAAGTTAATTATTAAAATGAGGTTCTTAAACATGGGAATGAGTTAAAAAAAAGCTAAGAACAATATACAACATGCTATGTAGGCATACTTATGAGACAACAATTAAGCTATTCAAAGCATGAACTATTAAAACAACTTAAGACAGCCCTAAAATAGCCCTAAACAGATGAAAAACAATGGCTAAAAATGCATGAAAAGAGCCTAAAAAGCTAATCAACAAAGAGAGAAAATAAGACAATTAAGTAAGAACAAGGAAGGATGGCTAACTCCTCCACTTTCAAAACCTTGAAGCATGATTTTTGGCCCTTTTTTAACTCTGAAAATTAGTTCAGGGAACAAAGAAAAAGAGTGTAGAAGTAAGGGTTTGAGCTATAGGTAAAGGTATAGAAAGAGTATAAATTCTCTAAGAGTGTAAACTCTCTCTATCTTTTTGGTAGCTCTCCAAACCCAAACTCAAACACTTGGAAGAGGATCAAAACAACACAAAACAATAAGAACTATGTAGCAAATGAAATAAATGAAAGCAAGAGAGAAGATAGCAAGCTTATACCTCTCAAAGAAGTAAGCTTTTGACTATGAACCAAGCTAAGTCTCAACACACTCTCAAGCTTGAATTATGGTATTCAAGGCTCAACCAAGGTTCCTAGGCTCAGGTGTGAAGGTGTATATGATGTATGGATATAGATTCAAGGTGGTAGGTTAGCTCATAGTGTTGTTTGCACAAGAAGAAGGAGAAGAAGGAGCTCTCGAGGTGGTATAGAGGCTTTCTTGAAATTCTCCAACCCTTAAAACAGAGGTATATGGTCGTTTTTATAGAATTTGAGCCAGAAATATCCCAAATATCTTCAAAAATGGATAGCTGGCGGGGCTTCTGCTCAGAACAGTGTTTCTCACTACCAAAGCCCGGCCGGCCCTCAATGAGGCACGGCCGGGCCCCAATGCATTTCCCTATTTTTCTGTTTCAGCCTCAACATAGGGTGGCACAAGGTGTAAAAATGGATTTATTTGGGTATAATCAGTGGAAATATGAAAGGTTTGACATTGTTTCGGAGCTTAAACACGACCTCTTCGTTGAGACCTCGAACCACGTACAACACCACTTTTATCATCGAGTGTACCGGACAAAGCGCTCGAGCCTTGCGGGGGGTCAAAAATGGGATGTCTACAGCGATAGACTGAGGCAAGTCTTCATTGTGTGCCATTGAAACTAGTTGAAGGAAAACTTAATCAAAAGGTAAGTTCTCTGTATCTTTCCCACAGACAATGCTAATTGTACGAGCATGAAATAATCCTTCTTATATAAACCTGTTGATCAAATTTGCACTCCTCCAAACGTCGTCATCTTATCACCTGAAAACACAAACGTGAGCTAGCCGGTGGGTGTGTGTCAGAAACCCTCTGATGCCTAAGTTAGCAAGTTGACTAAATACACCAAAGATTTATGTATTCGAGAGTAAGGGTTGCAATACCTGGGAATAGGTTCTGTCATAAGCTTTTATAGATTCTACGTGGCACAATCCTAGTAGGACTCTAACTCTCATTAGCAGAGTCCTCTTAGGAATCACATTCCTAAAGGATAATGCTTATCCCTAGAACATTCTCCTCACTGCAAGCCAAGTGAGATGGCGTGAACACTTGGTTCGGCTATCACCGTGCAACTGGGTTGCCTTAGTCTGTTCTGTCCTTGACTGAATCGTGTAGCTTGTAATACGAGAACGGTGAGCTGCCGAGCTACGACTACTTGACCTTTCTCATCGACCAGTTGACTTATACCTTTGTCTGTTTGACCTTGCTTTATATAGCTCGATTCAAGCTTAGGTAACACCAAAATAGGTAGGTCCACACATGTGACCTAGCACATGTTCGGCTCCGAATCGAACTATCCTCGTTCTTTCCTCAGCCCACTACGCGACCCAACCTCCAAAGGTAATGAACTAGCTCGGCTCAATTTGTTTACACAAATTACCCTCTCATATATTATATATAATAATGAAACAATCCTTGATAAATCAACAACCCAACCATACAAGTGATTGAAGACACATGATAGTTTTGTTAGGGAAATAAGGATCAATTTCTTGAATTTGTTGGTCAAAAGTTCATGCACAAGGATTTAACAAATTTAATTCCATAAATAGTCCAAATTTTTATCTATGTTCAATTTTTTGAATCTATTTTTTCAAATTATTTTAACTTATTTACAATATTTTTAACCTATCTGTTCAAATTATTTTCAATCTATATGTTAATATTTTTATACTTTTATTTGTCCAATTTATTTTAATATTTTTAATATATTCGTCCTAGTATTATTTTGCTTATTTGTCCAAATTAAATCTATTTGTCTTAGAATTTTTTCTTATCTGTCTAAATTATTTTAACTTTTTATTCCATAATCTATGGACCTAAACATTTGAATAAATAGACATCTAATATTTCATAGACCCATCCAAGATGTTAGTTTTGACAGATAGACATATATTAGGCTTATAGGACCCAAATAAAACGCGGCTCCATAAACATATATTGTTCTTATAGACCAAAAAACCCAAAAAAAAAAAAAAAAGAAGCTTGGATCTATGGCCTTAAAGTCTACAAAATGGATATTTGGACTGAGTCTCTATGATAAATATATTTGATAAACATAATCAGAATGAAGGCAAGAACAAATTGGATAGAGGAGCAAAATCCGTCCTTATCTTACTTTCTGTTATAGGGTCGAAAATATGCGTAGAGGTGGGGCATGAAAAAAATTTCATCCCCAAATACAATTTCATTTTCTTGTGGTCAAGTTTGGCATGATTGAAAAAAGATAAAAAGTCAAAAAGCTACTATCTTATTTAAGTCACATCATCTTATTTAAGTCACATCACCTCTTTAACACATCACTTCAAACCCAACCCAAACCCAACCCATATTTCATAAAAAGTCAAAAAGTATACTTATTTAGATCATCCCAAACAACCCCGGGTCTCTATTATAAATATATTTGATAAACATAATCAGAATGAAGGCAAGAACAAATTGGATAGAGGAGCAAAATCCGTCCTTATCTTACTTTCTGTTATAGGGTCGAAAATATGCGTAGAGGTGGGGCATGAAAAAAATTTCATCCCCAAATACAATTTCATTTTCTTGTGTGAAAATAAAAATAAAAAAGAAAATTCTATTATACACGCTCTTTATTATATATACTTTTAAGTTGTGTCATTTTTTTTCTTTAATTATAACTTATGAAATATTTGATAATGCCTTGTGTTATTTAGTTATAGTATTTTTTTAATTATAAGTCAAAATATCAAATTATATTAACTTTTTCTTTAATTATATAGTACCAATGGACTTTATCGCAAATAAAAATTGTATGAAAGGAAAAAGAAAATTCTAAGGTAGCGTTTGGTATAATTTTCTAAATATAATTTGAGAATAGAGTTGTATTTTGAATTTGTGAGTTTTAGAATTATAATTTGAGTATGAAAAATTTGTTTAGTTGTGAATTTTAAAAGGAGTTTTGAATTGAGTTTGAAATAAATGATGTGACATATGATATTTAATTAAAAATTTTATAACTCATAACCAAATATATAACTCAAAATCCTATTCAAAGATCATCAAAAATTAAAAAAAAAAAAATTAGAAATATTTTTTATTTAAAATAGAAAAATAATAGGTAAAAAAAAAATCGAACATTATTTCGGTCAACTGATTAGACGTTCGGGAGAATGACCGGATTAGTCAAATTTTTTCGCCTGAATTTTTTTTTTAAAAAATAAATATAAAATTATAATTTAAAATCTCAAACCGAAACTAGTGAAAATGTGATCGGAGAGTTTCTCTCAACGCAACCTAAATGATTGCAAACATCGTCCCAACAAAAAAATAAAAAATGATTGCAAGCACACAGTGGAGTATGAGTAATGGTAGAGGGTCACAATTTTTGTGACTCAAATGGTTCAAAATTGTAAAAACGACATCGTTTTGAGCACAAAACATGCCAAAACGACATCGTTTTGACAGTTTTGAGCCATTTGAGCCACACAAATTGTGTCTCTCAAACATTATTCGTGGAGTATAAGAGGAGAGAACAGTTGAAAAAACACAAAGGCAAATAGCATCGAAACACGTGGCGACCACCTGATAATTATTTTGGGCACCACCAGAGTCGGAGGAGAAAGATCCGTGCCGCCCTGATCGCCCTCTAAAACAAGATACTCCTTCTTGTCTCCACTCCACTCCACTCCACTCCACTCCACTGCTAACGACTTCTCTCTTCCTTCTCTTCTACATCCCATCCCATCCCATCCCATCCCATCCCATTGAAGACATACACAGAGCTACGCGTTTCTAGAGAGAGAAAGAGTAGAGCAAGAGAGAGAGCGATGGTTTGTTCAGGTCGAATATTGGCGGTTTCATACCCTGTGACGCCACTCTTACAGCGCAATTCGCCATGGTCGAAGAACTCGAGATTTATTCAAGTAAAGTTGAGATCCAAACACATATGCCCATCCATGGCTTTGGACCCCGAGGGTTCTTCATTTGCTCCTTCTATTGATTCCGACTCATCTGATAAAAACTCCTCTGGGTAATCTATCTCTACTCTTTTTCGATACTCATTTGATTCTAATTTGAATTATTAACTTTTTGTGTGATATCATCAGTAGGTTAGAATTCAGCTTCAATTTTGCGTAGAGTATACTTAATTCAGTTTTTTTTTTTTTATTGTTTTTAAATTTTTAAACACTGTCAGAAATTGATTGAATAATCTGAAAATTTAATGCTTGATGTGCTTGTTGACATATGGCTTAGATAAACAAATCCGGTTAGAATTAAGGCGTAGAAGGCGATTACATTGTGCAGATAATCTGTGTGTTTTTGAGTGCAGGTTTTGTATCATTGAAGGACCTGAAACAGTGCAGGATTTTGCCAAAATGGAATTGCAAGAAATTCAAGATAATATTCGAAGCCGGCGAAACAAAATATTTTTGCATATGGAGGAGGTGAGTTTTGGAGGGTAAAACTTGCTGTTGATTGGTGTCTTTGATGATACTGCCTTAGTTTTCATAAGCTTTTTGCAGGTAAGATCGATTTTGGATAATTTTTGTTGGTTATTAGATAGTTAACATAATGTCCATATACGGTGCATTTGTTACTTCTACTGTTATTGGTAGAGTACTTTTATATAAGAAAAAGCTAGTAATATCAAGAACCACATAGTACCAAAAGATTACAACCATATATTTTGTACTCACTAAACAAGGGCCTGGGGAAAATAGAAATGGAAAAAGTACATGTGGAACAAATCAAAAAATAATAAATCATCACATTACTGTTTGTAGTCTTCATTCATATGAATATGTTATCTAACTTGGACACATTAACGTGTGCGGAACACCTGTATAGGATGCTACTCGACATGGGTATAGGTTTGGATATGTGTTGGATACATCTATGATTGCAAAGTGTATATCTGTGAAGTAATAGAGGAGCTGACATTCTATGCTTAGTTTGTCTTTTCATAGAACTTTACAGCTCTTACGCATGCTTCTGTATGTTCTTACTAGAACTGTTAGCATTGTTGTTGATCCAGTTGTAGCATACTATCATGTGAAAAATAATATTGTAATGTAAACTTGTAATCCTTGTATTCATGCTTTCAATAATTAACATGAAAATGAAATGCCTGGATTTTTAACCTCCATCTTGTATGTTGAAACATCGTATTGCTAATACTGGTATCGTTGAAAACTTTTGTAGGTTCGCCGGCTCCGGATACAACAGAGGATAAAAAATGCTGAACTTGGAATCCAAAATGAAGAACAAGAAAATGAACTTCCAAATTTTCCTTCATTCATTCCATTCTTGCCTCCATTGGTAATTCTTAAAATCCATTATCTTGCAGCAATGGATGATGTGAATTTTGTGTTGGTCATACAACCCTTTCTATCTTTATCTTATTTTTCTTTTCTGTTTTGTTATCTATGAATCATGAAAAATCAGTTCCTTTGTTTGCCTTGAAGAGATTCTTCATACAATGACCAATAAGTGTATTTCATGCAGAGCTCAGCGAATCTTAGGCTGTACTATGCGACTTGTTTCTCTCTTATCGGCGGGATTATCATTTTTGGTGGTCTTCTAGCACCTACTGTAAGTTTTCTTGCACTTAGTTATTAGAACCAAGCTTTAAATACCCAGTAACTTGAGAACATTACCTCCTGTTTCATTTTTATCTATTATCAGTTTAGTTCAATAATATATTTCACTTCTTGATTTGGACACCTATATGTATATTAGTCACATAGATAGGGTGAGTAATCTTAACTTTGTAGATGAAGGCCTAGGTGCTTCAAGAATATAGTATACTTGGCTTTGAATAGTCTGGATCTTCAAAAATCTAAATTCTCCAAAGGCTTTGTTTAGTTTGGATAATTTGTGTTTTCTTTCTAATTGATATTTTTGTTCTTTTACAGCAGCACAATCAATTTCCATTGGTTTTTTAAGTGTCTTTTCTTTTTTTACTCTGTCCATAAATTGATCCGTATTCGCCAGATATCTTTAGGAATCATTCCTCTTAGGGTTTTCCTGAGTGTTACTAGGAGAATGATTATCGAGATTGTTTTTTTCTATCATCATAGATGAAGTTTTGCATGCTTAAGATATAGTTCTTTAACTTTCGTCAGTTCTTTTAATATTTAGTACTCATGTTTTTATGATATCTTGAGTTTGATTGCTTACAACTGTAAGTTTATTTAACAACCTCACAGTCAGTTTTACTGGTACCATGATCTAAATGTAAGATTTCCTCAATATATTTTTATTAAACATTGAATTGCCATTTTAATGTCTTATTCGTTTCAGTTTTTAGGAGTATTCGGGCTTTAATATGTACTTTGAGAGTTGCACAAATAGTCACACAAACACAGGGTGAAAATATAAGTTTTTGATAACTTTATGTTCTTTTCTGATTATATATTGTAAAGGGGTGATGTCGTAAATTGATTTTCCTACAAACCAACCTTATCCTTGGTCTGTTACACTTTGATTGGTGTATGCACATTATATTTGCGTTACAGGTAAGGTACTAAATAATTTTTGTAAGGATATAGCTTGACCACAATCTTTGTCTGAACTAATTTACAAATTATCGAATGCTCTGGATTTATAAACTCAGTAAAAAATAGACAACATTACATTAGCAGCGAACAACCTATAGGAAACATATTTAGGCTCAAAGTGAGCCTAAACTTCATTAAATGATGCAATAAGTATGCACACACCGAGTACAACCTTTTTTTTATTTTGCATCAACTCTCCTCTTAAATGTGTAAAGAAGTAGAGATGTAAAAAAAAGCCCGAGGATCATGGGTTGGCTTGAGGCTGCCCTATGGTTGGTCTTGGACCCCTTCAAGTAAGGGTTGGGCTAAGGCATCTGGAGCTTGGCCCAACACACTTTTTTTTTGGAAGAAATCGAAAACATAAAAAACCTTGAGGACCCAACAAAATCCTGGCGTCGACCGGGGATTTGTAAATTTGTCCTATTTGGGCTTGTCTTGAGCCAGCCTGGCACAACCTAGGGACAAATATCAGACCTAAAATGAAGTTTTAACCTTGTCAAGGACTGACATAAGCACTTTATGTTGTAGAAAGCATTGAACGGTTATTTTCCTCAGCCTTTGGACGTCTACATACTAGTAGATTGTAGAAACCATGTTATCAAAACGTGTTAACATTATCTTGGTTCTCAATGATACTTGCTTACTCTCCTAGTTAGAAGAAGGCTCTTTGGCGGATTCTTTAGATCCAAATGGAATCACATGAAGCCCATCCACCTTCTAACCATTGTTTCTCCTTTCAAATGTTCATCTCAGCTGGAGCTAAAGTTGGGACTAGGAGGCACATCATATGCAGACTTTATTCAGAGTGTGCATCTGCCAATGCAGTTGAGGTATGCTTGTATGTGGAGTGTAACCTTCTATATTAGAATGTTAGCAGTTCTGAATCTTTTGCATTTGAATCACAATTCTTGTACCTGATGAGTTATTTGGAATGTTTTCCTGTCCATGCATCTTACACCATCAGACCACCTGTTCAGTTTGGTTAATTTGTCAAACAATCTACTAGAAAGATATATATTCTGTCATTCTCAGCACAATATTCTGTGTTGAGAATGTTTTTAATGATGCCTGTGGAATTTGTAGAAAGCTTATATCAGTCAGATTGCAAGCATGGATAAAGAAAGAGTTTATAATTTTTTTATGGGGTTCTGGAAGTTCCAGAATTGCAGAGGGAAAAGTTTTGTGTGCTTAGTGAGTAGACTATTGCTTCTAGTTTTTAGTACATAGGAGTTATTTTTGTTTTAATCACAGTCAGGTTGATCCCATCGTGGCATCGTTCTCTGGGGGAGCAGTTGGAGTGATCTCAGCTTTGATGGTGGTTGAAATAAATAATGTAAAACAGCAGGAGCATAAAAGATGCAAGTACTGTCTTGGAACAGGTATTCATTTTAACAAATCCTACTTCTGACCATTTTCAAGGATTTTGCTGTTACATTAAAATCTTGTCTTTGAATTAGTTGCTTTTGTTTATATTATTTGGGCTTGGAAGAAATAATTCTAAATGTATGCCTTGCTTGGGTCCATTTATTCTTGTCTTTTACGTGCTGGAATTTTTTTAACACATTCATTGTGGAAAATTGTTACTAAAAACCACCTGCCTTTGGTAATATGACAGCTATTGCATGATTAGATATGCGTATCCACTTTGAAAGCCTAAAACAAAACCTATGGCCCCTACAACATGCAAGAAGACTTTTTAGTTCTAAGAAAAGTGTCCATGGTAGTGTTTATATTCTTAATTTTAGTTTATCTAGAGTTAGTTTACTGCTGGGTCACCTTTGTTTACGGTTTCCTATGTTTTGAGAGTCGAGGGTATTTTGGTAAGTTTGAGATTGCTTGACATCTGTTGTGGTTATGTTTACAAGCATTAATATAGATCAAGTTGTGTTTTGGGGTCTTACATATGATCTACAGTCCCTAATTTGGAATCTTGCTATAGAATTAAGAGATTCTCTTGAATAATTCCAATTATCCTTCGTCTTTTCTGTCTTTTTTTTGTCCTACTTCTATCTTCCTGACCACCAAAAGAAGTTTTCTCTGCATTTGTTTAAGCCACTGCGTGCTTGTTTTCTTGGTCCCATCTATCTTACAAACCAGCGAGCTATTCTTTTTGCTTGTTCTAGTCATGATGTTTATACTTGCTGTACTTATATGCTGATCATCTGGTTTATGCAGGATATCTTGCTTGTGCTCGCTGTTCAAGCTCAGGAGCGCTTGTCCTTGTTGAACCAGTTTCAACTGTTAATGGTGGAGATCAGCACCTAGCACCTCCTAAAACTGAACGATGTTCAAACTGTTCGGGTTCTGGAAAGGTTAGACATTTGGGATTTTGGTTTCCGTATTTATTTAATGAATGTCACATGGACCTGTTTACTATCTGAGGGCGGTAGAATAGCAGATTCTGATGGTGCAATATATGGCTTATGTGCATGGTTAAAATGGTTGCTTGATGAACTAATGTGAGATTCTTGGGGAAGAGATTACGGAAACAAGATGCTATTTCATCAGAAAAAAGAAATATCTAATTTGGAATGCTTTGAAGCCCTTGTGTTTATATTGTGCTAAATTACTGACTTCAACGTGCTTGAAATTAATCTTCTTATTTGTTTCTTAAGCTGACCTGTCTGACTATACCTTTGTAGCCCCATTGGTGAAATTTCTTCCTGTGCAGTAAGACACTAGACCTGCTTTGACAGTAGCTGAGCTAGAGCTGTTTATTTATTTATTTATTATTTTTATTTTTAAATTTATTGTTTATTTAAGTTGGTTGCTGAATCAGGAAGTTATTTGACAAACTGGTAGTGACACATGTGAGATCCAACCCGTGACTTTTGAAATTTTTATTTCAATACCTTTTCATTTTGCAGGTCATGTGCCCTACCTGCCTGTGTACAGGGATGGCGATGGCAAGTGAGCATGACCCTCGGATTGATCCATTTGATTAGAAAAGCATATCATTTCTTACTTCGCCCTCAATTCCATGTATGATTTTCTGCTGCATCTACACATTCATGACAAGTCCTAACATCTTCTGTATAATTGTAATCCTTTTACTAAGGGAGAAACCTCATTTTTCGTAATATAAGATGTTTGAAGAATTTTTGTACTATAATTTCATGCGCTTCCTGTCCTTAATATTGTGGCAAATACACTTTTGATTAACTGCTTAAAGGAGCAATTAACTCAATTCATTTAACGAAAATGTTTGTGAGCCCTAAAAAAGTTCTCATAATTTAACCCACATTGATATGGCAAGATGTCAATTTTTAATTTGTCACGCTCATCTTTGTTGGGACCTAACTCTCTTGCCACATTATGGCAACTTTGTTTGGTCAATTATTAATGGTGCTATGCGCTCAAGTTATTTCTATTTTTTCTTGAAAGTGATTGATCATGTGTTGTTTCTGAATCTAGGGGTGGAAAACATATAACTATTGGTGAAGGTTATTGTACTATGTTAATATGTTTAGAGGAAATTTCTTGGTTCCACTAATTTCGTTTCCCTTTCAACCTTTTCAAACTAATTAGCATTGGTGTATAAATGTCATGAGGAATATGTTTGTTGAACTAAAACATGATTATTAGTTACTACTATTGAATGGTTGAAATGGTTTGTACACAACTATGTATTGTTGTTATACTAAACCCTAAGTTGCAACATATATTATGTGCTCCCTGTGTTCAATCAACTAGTACATGCCTATTGGAATAATAGATCACTAAATAATAATAAAAAATTTAATGCTATTATCCATATACTCATTGTTGATGTTAATACTTTGCTCCCAATTCACAGCATAATCTCATGCATTTAGAAAAATCACATTGCCCTTATTAACATTTCTTAAGGTCCAATTCCATCACTTGTTAATAGTCTACAACAATTTTGAAACAAGTCAGTAACAAAAAAAAAATTGTCCGAAAAGTTATTCTTCTATAAATAAAACCTCAGTTTGGAAATTGAGGCAAAAAACAAAAGAAGAAAGAAAATGAAGGCAAAACTATCAAAATTTGCTACAATGATTTGTATTCCTCAATCAAACGAGACGCATGGAGACGTGATGAAGGGACCACCGTGCATCCCAAGCTCTGTAAATAAGCAATCTGGCATCCATGAAGAAAAAAATAGCCCAAGCGAGGCCAAAGTAATAGAAGTCAATTTTGATCGAACTTGACATGAAATATAATAACAGATGGGGAATCCTCAGCAGTCTTCCCATGCTTACAAGCTCTTTTAGTGACCAAGAGAACATATATCATAGGAAGAAAGATGAAAAATCCAACATGAAGTGATAAAAGTTTTGGATAAGCAAAATATTTTATACTCTTTCAACAGTGTAACCAAACATCTTTTTATATTCATATGTCACTCATTTTTAAGTCACTGCAAATAAGAATATGGTTGAAACAACTAGGCAACTCCTAAACATAAGGTTAGAATGAAAAAAAAATGATAAAAAGTAAAAATGGAGTTTGTTTTTTTTTTTGATAACTTCATGGACATGTAAAGGACCTTGAAATTGAGGAGGTGGACTTGGGGGAAAAGAACATTAAAACAGTTTTTTATATAGAAATCTCACTTAGAATGATGTGTGTAAAGTGAAGTCTCGTATTGCCCGAGTACTAAAGTAATATTAAGCATGTAAGTGTGAGGGTACCCTCACCTTAACAGCAAACTTTTATGGTGAGCCTATGTCCGGCCCTGAGATTTTCGGGGCCCAAAGCTAATAATCAACTAATAAATTTTTGGAGCCCTTCACATTATCTCTCTCATTGAATGAAATTTTTTTTTGAAGGTAAATGACAAAAGATTTGTGTCAATTTTGAATGGGTCTTTCAATTTTTTAATGGGTCAATTTATTTTAAATTAATTTGGACCTTTAATTTTTTTTGGACTTAAAACATACCTAATATATTGCAATAAACTATAATAGGAGGGGGTCTTTTTTTTTTTTTGGCCCTTTTAATTTTGAATGGGCCTTTCAATTTTTTAATGGGTCAATTTATTTTAAGTTAATTTGGGTCTTTTCAATTTTTTTTTTTAAACTTAAAACATATCTAATATGTTACACTAAACTATAATAGGAGGGACCCCTTTTTTAGCTCTATTTTGAGGGGCCCTAGGTCATGGCCTGGTGGGCCTATGCCCAGGGCCGGCCTTGGGTGAGTTCTACCCAAGATCGTGTAACCTGGTATCAAAGTCAGGGTACTCAGGGATGGGTAGGGTGCGTGTCCCTAGCTTGCACGCCACAAGTGCTGCCGAGTGAGCATGTTGGGCGGGAGAGAGGGTGTGAAGTGAAGTCTCACATAGCCTGAGTACTAAAGGGTGAGGGCACCCTCACCTTAACAACTAGCTTTTAGGGTGAGTTCTACCCAAGACAATGTAACAATGTGGTGGTAAAATTTTGAAATTATGAGCACATTGATGGGTCATTTATTTTCAAATGACACTACCACTGTGAGCCATGTCATTTGTATAAATATTCTGTTTGTAGCTTTGTACAGTCTTGGTGAGGAAAAAAATATTTAAGACCTATATTGGTTTTCGGCTAATGAAAACATAAACTATGCATCAGTATGTAATTTCTTGTTATGCTGTTTAAAATATTCAACACAAGGAAACAGAAACATAACAACACCACTATCATATTATATGCATGAACACAATTTCCAGCATTTCATAAACTTGTAAGGACAAAAAAAAGAAGATTTACTTTTATAGGCTATTGTCATATGTATTTTGTATTTGCCATGAAAGGAGGCTAATACCAGACATAAGTTATTTAGTAGAGAATAGATGTCACCTGTTTAGAGGTGGGGGCAGATGAACCCATTGCATTCTCAATCCTTAGTTTCTGAAAATGTTCCTAGAAGGCAAAAAAATAATAATAAATAATGCTTCAAATTATTGACGAGGGCAGAAAAAGTAATCTTTATACTAATATGCAAGAGATAAAACAACCATTTCTTTATAGTATGCCAGGCAAAAGCTTATGACCTGAGGCGTAACGCTTGCAATCCCTTTGTTTTTCAACAGTAATGAACAATTATACAATATTACTGAAAGAGATATTACAGACACATAAAGAAAACATATGACAAAATGGGTACAACAAATATTCTCGTCTGAGTTTGACTGCATGTGTGCATGAGCATAGATAGTGTAATTTGAAGAACTTATTAATTGTGTGTTCTATCATGGATCAATATGGAAATGTCTGATATTATTTAAATTGACAAGTTTAATTTCTGAAAAATTACTGCTAAGAATGTGGAGAATTACATAAACACCGAAGAGTTTAGAGCTCTTTGTCATTAATCAAGGATATGCTTAACACAGATTAATTAGAACCTCAAACAGGCTAAAAAAACCTTCAAGACACCAAAAATAGTGAATCCATCTTATATTTTAAGAAACCATTTTGTGATACATAATTTCACGTTTTCAATCTTAGTAATCTTAGTGAACCTATCCTGCACATTCACACACCGTATGCCTCAGAGATAGTGAATTATGAGCTGAAAAACTTACCTGTTTCTCCCTCATCAAATGAGCACGCTTATCAGCAGGTATTTGTTCCCACCTCAGAACCTATGCCAATAATAACAATAATAAATAAATTAAACAACTAACAACAATAATTGTCTATTTTTGAACAAAAGCTATGATAAGCTTCAACTAATATTTTTTAGAAGAGAAGAGAACTCACATATTGTGCATATTGAAATGCCTCATCACACTTTAAGCAGGACTTTAGTTCACGCATAACATCCTGGCATGTCATGCAAGAGTCATTTTGCTGATACTATGAAACTGAATATGCATACATGAACATAATTACATGTGTCATAGCATGTGCCTGTATGTTTGTAGAATAATTCATCATAGAAACTTCAGGAACTATAGCAGACACTAGTGTAAATTGATTTTATTGGCTGAGAACCTTGAGTTCTGTTTGACTAACTGTCCAATTTTTCAAAGTTTAAACCCTCGGTAAACTATTGTTAAGCCATCCAGAATACATGGTTAAATCTGAGATTTTTTTTACATATCTTTCCTGTATAACTATCACATCTCTTGACTGCCCAAAGACTCCTTTTTCATCCCTGGTTTCTGTAGAGCTTTCGTTTAGGGGTTATCCTTAGAATCCATATGTCGAAAAACCAGAATCTGTGGAATTATCTTTTTCAGGATTTATACTTGGAAGGGTCATGACAATTTTGTGCTTTTAGGAGACATGTATCAAACAAGTCCTAGCAGCATGTGTTCATGAGCAGGTAATGTGAGACTAATATTAGTTTCACAGGTAAATCAAGAGGGTTCACAGCAAAAATAGCTGGCTAGAAAGCTTAAACAGAATGGCAGGCTATGACCGCAAGAATGATATGAATTAAAAAAGCAGAAAGCAAGAGAGAAATAGTTGCTGATAAGATGAAAAAAAATAAAGTCAAAACAACCTTGTGTGTGCTTTTCTTGACTCTCAAGCGTTCGTCAATTGCGAAGCCAACCTGTAAATACACCAGAGACAAACATAAAATGCAAGGTCAATCAGGAAAACAAAAGCTGTCAAATGTACACGGGAATATAAAAGCATGGAAACGATGAGTTCACTGGAAAAAAGCCCAAGACCAATTCTTGGTGTGGAAAAAATGTCTCAAAAGTTGAGACAGAACTGCTATTAACACCTCATAAAAAATTTTAACGGGTAGAAGTGGAATGCATACGCAACAAGCTGTTGTTACTACTGATAAAACATTGATAGATGATCTGTTGAAAGACAGCATTGATAGAGAATCCAGCCATCCAACCGCATAACAACACTAGCAAGAGGGCAATAAAGTTAGAAAAATATCTCCTGTAGATATGCCACGATTATCAGCAACAATATGAACTCACATTGCTGCTTGGTACCAAAGAGACTACATCAGTACTTAACAAAGGAAACCAGAAAGAAAAATAAGGAAATCCATCGAGTAATAACAAAAGACAATTGGATAACTGGTGGCCAGGGCAGGTGAGCAAAGACCTAACAAAGAGTGGACATTATTTTTTAGGTACACAACACAGTAAATGAAATGTTACTAATAAAGGCATTCTTTTATACGAGTCTACCACCAAACGGCACTAAGCTGCACCAGTGTCAAGGAGTAATACCTTAAATGGTACCAACTACAACAAAGATTTCCCATTTGGCAGTACTGCCAAACTAACAATACACTTTACATAAACAACCTGTAAGTTCATCGCTACAGCCAAACTCATGGGCATACTCTTTTCTTAAACAAATTTAAAATTTCATAGCTGTGGCCAAGGTCAGGCCCTTCACCATTCAACTCACAGAACTACATTTTAGGGAATGCAATTTTGATGATGTAAATTCATCAAGTTCTGCAAGCCAGGCATAAACAAAAGAGTAGCTGATGCAGAAGAGTTTGCATGCCAATTTCAATAAAAAACATTGGTATATTTCAGACCATATGCTTGGCTATCAGACTGCATGAATTGGTTGAATTCAAGTACCATGGTTCAGGAAGAAGAAACAGTAACAAGGAAATAAGGAAGAAGTCAAACTGAACAAAAGACTGAAAACCAAAGATTACATTCACATATACAGAACACTCCTGCATGGATTTAAAGGGAATCAAAAGGAGGAGGGCACCCACTCAATCTCTCTACTCAAGGCAAACCCATTCTTCTTTTATTTATTTAATCACACCCTTGATGTCTTCCCCTTTCTTTTCTTTATCTTTTTCAGATACGCACTTATCATGTTTTTTTTTAGATTCCACCACTACTCACACACTTCTCTTTCACTTTCTCTAAAAAAAAAAAAAAAAAAAAAAATTGAAAATATCTTTTTCATTATCCATTGTTGAATCTGTGAACCGGCATAGATAAATCAAGCAGATGTTAGTCTAAGAAAAGCAATCTTGATCAATATGAAATGGTGTTAGAATTAATGTATAGGAAAAGAGAGAGAGAAACAAATATTAAAATTAATGTATAGGAAAAGAGAGAGAGAATAAATTGATTGTATTATTGATTGATTTATATTGATGTCAATTACAATGATTCATGATTCCTATATATAGAAGAGGGTGAGTGTGTAGTAGGTAAGGAGTAGGTGAAGTGGAGGTGGTAGTGGTGTAGTGGGTTAGGTTTAGTGGAGTAGGTTTAGTGGTAGGGGTGTAGTGGGTTAGGTTTAGTGGAGTAGGTGAGGTGGTAGTGGTGTAGTGGGTTAGGTTTAGTGGAGTAGGTGAGGTGGTAGTGGTGTAGTGGGTTAGGTTTAGTGGAGTAGGTGAGGTGGTAGTGGTGTAGTGGGTTAGGTTTAGTGGAGTAGGTGAGGTGGTAGTGGTGTAGTGGGTTAGGTTTAGTGGAGTAGGTGAGGTGGTAGTGGTGTAGTGGGTTAGGTTTAGTGGAGTAGGTGAGGTGGTAGTGGTGTAGTGGGTTAGGTTTAGTGGAGTAGGTGAGGTGGTAGTGGTGTAGTGGGTTAGGTTTAGTGGAGTAGGTGAGGTGGTAGTGGTGTAGTGGGTTAGGTTTAGTGGAGTAGGTGAGGTGGTAGTGGTGTAGTGGGTTAGGTTTAGTGGAGTAGGTGAGGTGGTAGTGGTGTAGTGGGTTAGGTTTAGTGGAGTAGGTGAGGTGGTAGTGGTGTAGTGGGTTAGGTTTAGTGGAGTAGGTGAGGTGGTAGTGGTGTAGTGGGTTAGGTTTAGTGGAGTAGGTGAGGTGGTAGTGGTGTAGTGGGTTAGGTTTAGTGGAGTAGGTGAGGTGGTAGTGGTGTAGTGGGTTAGGTTTAGTGGAGTAGGTGAGGTGGTAGTGGTGTAGTGGGTTAGGTTTAGTGGAGTAGGTGAGGTGGTAGTGGTGTAGTGGGTTAGGTTTAGTGGAGTAGGTGAGGTGGTAGTGGTGTAGTGGGTTAGGTTTAGTGGAGTAGGTGAGTGTGTGAATTTTGAAAGTTGGCCTTCGGTAATCTCGGATTACTGGCCATCACGGCACTAAACTACTAGGGGCGGTTTGGGGTCGTGACAATATCAATGCAAGAGTAAAAAGGCAACTTTTGATGGCACGCCTTTTTATGGATTGGACACGCCTTTTGATGGCACGCTTTTTTTAAAAATTGGGCACACCTTTTGAGGGTGCAACTTTTACAACGGTCCGACATGACCCCATAAACTGTCCCGACATTTGATTCCGGTTAGCTTCTACAACGGTCCGACATGACCCTATAAACTGTACCAACATTGATTCCGGTTAGCTCCTTCATGGGTCCGACAAGACTCTGTAAACTGTCCCGACATTGATTCCGGTTAGTTTCTACAAGGGTCCAGCAAGACTCCGTAAACTGTCACAACAACTGTCACAACATTGTCTGCTACAACGGTCCGACATGACCCCATAAACTGTCTTCTACAACGGTCCGACGTGACCCCATAAACTGTCTTCTACACCGTTATGACACCCCCATACAGTGTCCTCTACAACGTTATGACACCCCCATACAGTGTCCTCTACAACGTTATGACACCACCATCCAGTGTCTTCACCAATGGTCTGACACGACCATACAGTGTCTCCTATCCTCTTTTATTTTTATGTATTTTTCTTGTTTTGTAACTCTCTCCAAACTCAAGTTGGTTAGTTTCTATCCTCCTTGAGTTTGCGGAGGGCTGTTAACATTTACCATCACCTACCACACACTTACCATCACCTACCACACACTCACCTACTACACTCACCTACTCCTCACCTACCACCACCTACTCCACTACACCTACATCTATATAAGGAACCATTTGTAATAGACAGAAATAACAATCTTGTAATAAATCAATCAATACAACAATATATATCAATCAATAATACAATTCTCTATTTCTCTTTATACATTAAGGCCAAGTTTGGGGTGTTCCAAAAAAGCCAAAAAGTCAAAAAGTTACTCAAAAAGTTAAAAAGTTAACACTATTCACCAAAAGTCAACAATTACGGCTGCACAACTCCCAATTCAAAATTTTCTCTACAAATCAATTTTTACAATTTTTTATTACACATTTTTCAATAAAAAGTCAAAAAGTTAACCCAAACAGCCATATTTTTAACCTCAATTTTTTAGTCCAAAAAGACAAAAAGTGCACTTATTTAGTCTTCCCAAACTTAGCCTAAATTTTCTACAGATGTAAATTCATCAAGTTCTGCAAGCCAGGCATAAACAAAAGAGTAGCTGATGCAGAAGAGTTTGCATGCCAATTTCAATAAAAAACATGTTTGCATGCCAATTTCAATAAAAAACATTGGTATATTTCAGACCATATGCTTGGCTATCAGACTGCATGAATTGGTTGAATTCAAGTACTATGGTTCAGGAAGAAGAAACAGTAACAAGGAAATAAGGAAGAAGTCAAACTGAACAAAAGACTGAAAACCAAAGATTACATTCACATATACAGAACACTCCTGCATGGATTTAAAGGGAATCAAAAGAAGAAATTACATAAATAGTTAGGCAAAATAAGAGTAAAAAAATAAACAATGCTTTCCAGAAATTTGAAAAAAAAGGATGTAATAAAGGATTCACCTTGTCAAGTAACCTCTTTGCGTCTTGAAATGCTGGCTTCTTGGCCCATTGATGGAATAAATGGGAAACAACTGCTCGGTCCTCTACAATGAATCTGTGAACCGGCATAGATAAATCAAGCAGATGTTAGTCTAAGAAAAGCAATCTTGATCAATATGAAATGGTTTATATTGACATATTAATCTGACAATCCCACTACTTGGAGAAAGACCTTTTCAAAAAACTATTCCCGTAGCATGCCTCCATTGATTCCATTGACTCTTTGGAACCTTCATGGACTGGAATCTTGACAGTATCCTTCAGCACTATATCTACGTCAGAAGATTCCGTTTCTCTTGATAGACCAGCCCATATGCTGCAGTGAGTTCCAGTTTGAATTTGTTGGTCCTTCTCTTGTAGATCTTTTGAATTCAGCTCAGACTTCAAATCCAGAAAGGAAAAAGAAAAAACAGCAGCAACAACAGATTTAGCTAACCTCAGGAAGTATTAAAACATAAACCAGCATGAAAAGAAATTGAACCCACACTTTTGAATGGTAAATACAGGTTAGAAGTAAAAAATGATTGCCAAATGAGTTTCAACAGTAATGGCATGTGCATGTGGTGCTTTCAGAAACAACATGCAATAAGGGACAAACATCCCTATCAATCTAAATCAACCATAGCACACCATTCTTTTTCACAATCTAAAATCCAAATGGATAAATTCCAAACAAATAATCATGCAAACTTGAATTGGTCTTCTACTATTTGTCCTTTATGAATTCTCTCTCTCCTATTATTAAAAGGCCTAACCACAGAGGGGTGACCTCTGGGGCTAAACCCTAAGGAGCCGAGGCCCCAGAGGCCACTCTTAGACGGTGCTACATAGCAAGGCCACTCAACTATATAACGATAAGTCGCGGACTTGCACATAAGCGAGGATTCGAACCCACACTCCTTACACTGGATACAATTTGCTCAAGCCTGGAAAGTTCGTCCTACGAAACCATATGTGTTGTTGCCCGGGTGGCTGGCCCTAGGAAGAGTGGAACTTGGGACCTCAAGGATTATGCCTCAAGGCCTTACCAAATTGCCACACTCCCTTGGGTTCTCTTTCTCTCCTATTATTCATCCTTTCCTAACTTGAAAAAAGAAAAGCCAAGAAAAAAAGGAGTAAAACTTTTCGTATCAACTTCCAACTTCCAAGCCTATGGAAACTTTTTCCATTGACACCTTGAAAAGTTATAGGTCATCCAATGAACCAACCCACTCATACTTCTGCCGTCCAAACACATTGCATACTTAAGTTTCCCCCCCACACCATCTGATCATCAACTCATCTTTTAGTTTCAAATATTTTTTTTCCTTGATAGCCAATTATATTGAAGTTTATATACAATAAAGAAAAAAAGAAAATTCATTTTGAATTGTGAAAAAGTGTAGTACTTCTCATTTTAGCACTGCTTTCAAGTTACAAGAATAACTTTGGTAATACAATTACAGTGGAATCGTTTCTTCTTCTTTTTTTTTCTTGTTTTGAAACTTATATTCATGGTTAGAATTCAAATTCCTCCACTTTGACATTTTGGTTGTGCTTAATTTCTTCTTTTGATCATACAACTAAATATTGTGATCCACTTCTTACGTGAGTTATCTTAAACCCAAGAAGATATCGCTGAAGAACATATTGCAATTATAAATTAACTCAAGAATAATAAAATAAACAGCAAGCATCCCAAGCAAGCCACTAAGCAATAAAACGTGATTCTTCATCTCCTAGATACCTTCAAAATTGACAAACAATGATTGCACAGTAAAACACACCTGGATCTCTCGAAGATGATCAGGAATTTCTTTTAAAAACCGTGATGGCTGAAGCATCTGGAATGAATCACACTGATGTTCAGAAAAAGAATAAGAACCAAAAAGTAAAACAGAATTGTTATACAGATCAAACCTGCCAATTTGAGTCCATAATAACATAAAGAATGAAAAGTTTTTTCCGAGCACGAGTCATCGCCACATATAGCAATCGCCGCTCCTCCTAATAGTACATATATATTTAAAAACAAAACAAAACTAGTTGAGTACCACACAAACATTGATATTTGGAAAAAGGGGGGGGGGGAAAAAAAAAGCATGACACAGTGAACAAAAAAAAATTCATGAGAGAATATGTTTACCTCAATTGAATTGCAATTTTCCTTCAGAACACCATTGAATTCATGCGACAAAGGGATTTCAGATTCATTCACCTGGGGCATTCATTTAAGCATTAGATTATTGCTTGACAACTTCCAACAGAAATGATGATGTCTTTTATTCATTTTAAACTGACATGTTAATCACAATTTTACAAGTAACAACAAAATTTTGGCCAAAGATAGGACAAGGTGTGTGCACGTCTTAAATATGTGTATGTATACATTGATATGAATATTAATACAACAATATATGTATATATAAAAATGTTACTCTGCAGCCACCAGTAACAATCCTTTTACCACCAAATTTGAGCTCAACATTACAAGTGATCTTCTAATCAAACTAACCAGGTGAAGTAACTTAAATAATAAATATTTTTTTCAAATAAATTATCAATAGATTAAAAGCTTTCAAAGCTCATCACAGAGATTCTATTTTATACCAAGTACATTACACCACATTCTAATGTTCACTTTCTTTCCATTTGTATCATAACATGCCACTTCTTTTATAGCGATCCCAGGTTTACCCTTGTTGAACAGTGATCCGGACATGTGTCCGTGGATGTTGGTAGTGGTTTATTATCTTGTATGCATCCTCTTTACTTTGTATATTGAGTATGGGATGTGTTGGGCAGGTTTGTTACAGGTTGGTTGTGTTTGGGAGCTTAGTGTTGCTGCCCAAATTTTTGGCCCTTCGCTCGAGCCAGGAGTTTGTCGCTCGAGCGAGAGTGAGGTTCGTGTCTGGTGGGTCGAGCCAGGGTGGCTTCGCTCGAGCGAGTGTTGCGTCTGGTTCTGGACCTGAGAGTTGCCTTTCTTGGCTCGAGCGAGCTTTTCTTGGCTCAAGCGGTCTGGGTTTTTCTTCGCTTGATCGAGAACTTCTTGGCTCGAGCGAGAGTTTTCTGTGTCTGGTCGCTCGAGCGACCAAGTCTTCGCTCGAGCGAGCGTGTTTTATATCAGCGGACAGTAGCGATTTTGAACTTCACTTTTTCATTTCTTTTTTTGATCAAACCCTAAATCCGAGACCCTCTCTCTCTAAACTTACACTCTCTCTAAGATTTGATCTCCCTAGAGTGTGAATCTAGCCTAGGGCGTTTGTTAAAAAGATAGAGGGCGTTGAGAGCTTTGATTTAATCTGAAAAAGTTTGGATTTGGAGCAAGTTGATCTTCGAGTCTTCATCTCCTTTTTGGCATAAACTTCGAGGTAGGGATATCCTACTCCTCTCTATGGATTTTGTCTTTAAATTTTGGTATTTTGAGATGTTGGGCTTGGTTTGGTAATTTTGTGAAAGTTTGGGGCTTTTGTGTAATTTTACAAAAGTTGGGGTTTTATTCATAATAAACCTAGATGCATGTTTGGCATAGAAAAATAGAATGATTGTTGAATCATTGATGAAAATGGAACCTAAGGGTTGAAATAGTAATTATGGAAAATGGCCTAATTACATTGTTTAATTAATTTTCTCCACCAATCTGATAGCACCACAACAATTAAGTATTGCACCGTTGAATTTCACATGTTAAGTATTGGCAAAAGATCAATATTGCAACTAACAGAGAATAGAGTACATATTTATACCCCTCAAAAAAACACTCATTAGTTTTACAGTGAGCAAGAAATTGGGTACCGATGATATGTATACAAATTGGGTACCGATGCTATTAAATAAAATATCCATTATATAATCATTGAAGTGGATTCCACACCAACTGATTGTGTGAATGCTATTTGTTAATTGCTCCTCGTGCAACAAACCAAGTGACAGAACATTCCTGAAAAATGTAAAGTCTTAAAAAAACAATTTTACCCTTCTCATTATATGAACAAAGGTATTATATTAAAATAGTCATTATATATACATAGAGATAGAAAACTAATTACCTCACATTAATAGTTTTCAATGCATGCATTTTATGGGATTTTGGTTTTCATGTTTTAATTATGTTAATTTATTAGTTCTTGAAATATGAAATCTATGCTTCAATTAAAATATTTGTTGACCAAGTAGCACTTTTTACTCTGTTAACTTTTAGAATTGGATTTGTAACTGACAAAGTGATGAAATAAGAATACACGAAAAGAAGAGGAAAAGACTACCTCTAAGAAGCCAGCTTGATCAAGGATTGCCCGCACATTTTCTGACATAAAATCAACTCCTAGAACTGTGATATATTGTAGTTGTTTTACTTTTGATGTATTACATGTAACTTCAAGCCAAGGGCTTAATGTGTAAACGAGTTAGTACTCTTTTGTTGTAACCAAGTGTTAACTTGGAAAGCTGTAAGCCCGTAGGGCATTTTGTTTTGATGTTAACATGTAATACTTATGTAATGGAACTTTGATGAATAAAAGAATGTGGTTAGTTTATATGTAAATGTATGTCTTATCTGATGGGTTTAATGTTGTTATTTTGAGGGCGTTACATCTTTCTTCCTTTCCTTTTTTCCATTAGGTAATCAAGAATCACTTCAATCTCTCTCTCTCTCTCTCTCTCTCTCTCTCTATATATATATATATATAGGCTTCAATTCCCAATCCAGTTTATGTAATCTACTGTGTCCTCCAAAAGGGGTAATCTACAATATCAAGAGGCTCAAACACCACAATTAATCCAGGAGGGGAATGGAAAGCCAAACAGAGCAACCACACTGATGGGGAATGGAAAGGCGTGGGATGAAGGGAAACTTAAAAACTATGTAATTTATTTATTAGGGTTTTGACCCTTGTTCTTTTTGTTTCTATATTTTTATTCTTCTTGATATCTTTGATCTTTTCTATTGGATCAATTCTCCATAATTTCTGGTTTTGAGATCAATATAGTTGAACGGATTTCTTAATAGCCGTTCTGGATCACACACACAGCAGTGACCTGAGCCCACACGGTTGTGTACATAGGTCTGCTATGATACAAGTAACAAGCCAGGTCCACCCCCAAATCATCTAGCCTACGATATTTATTGTGTTCAGCTCATTCATTCTTCTGACATGGGACTCAACAGAAGCTAGTGCAGTTCATGGCCACCGCTACAGTTTGCAACTCAACAAGTTGAAATCCACACATAGAACCTTACGTAAATCCCACCCACATTTTCTTTTGATTGAACAAAAAACAAATCTGTCACTTCTTTCAGAAAATGATTTTATTTCAAGAAAGGAGCAGAGGGCCTTGGATTCATGTAGCCGACCCCATTTGATGGTAAAGTACATCTCATGGCTTTCCTAAATGTGGTTTTGCCTTTCAAATGTCAGAACTAATGAGAAATCTTCCCATTATGTGAAATGCACATGTCCAATTCAGCAGATGGAACTAAATTTGTCAGCAATTCACCAACCAAGAGATAATGGAGAATAAATAGCTAAGAGTCATACCATGCTCCAGTCCAAACTTTTCATTAGGTGAAGTGGAACCGCAAATGCAATACAACATACTCTATTAGACTACATATTGTTACTTTGAAAAAACCGCTAGGTTACTGACAATTATGCAAAATGAACATCAGTAGAAGAAGTCACTTCTCAAGGATACCTTGACTATGAAAACATTATCCCACTCCAGGCCTTTTGACTGCACAGAAACGAAAAGAAGGGAGATGTGAAGAAAGTAAGCCAAGGGTATTCTCAAACATCTACATTGACAGACACAGGAATCTCCATGGAAACAAAAGGAAACATCTAGCTGTTTAGAAAGAGGAAAAACCTGATGAATGGTAGTCAGGGTAACACCATCTTTATTGTTATGTCTCCTTGAACGAAAATTTTCGCTCTCCCTTTCAGATATATAATCAATAAAAGCTTTAAGTACATTAATGCAGCCTTTGTCTTCCTCTATGATATCTCTCCCCTCTTCTGGCATAATAAATCGCGTTGACAAAAACTCAGAGACATCATCCAGTAGATACTGGAGCACCTGCATAATGAAGCATCCAAATTCCATATCACATATTGAGTGCTGAAGGAATAATTGTTATGGCCAGACTCATAAGTTTATACAATTTAAAATTTCAAAGGAAATAAATGAGGCTGTGTTTGTAATGATAATAAAAACATAGACAGTTCAGTCCACGTTAAGAGTCACTTGGAAAGATGGCAAATATTGTTTTTCAGTCCATTTAATACCAGATAAGCTTTTCCTTAGATATTGATCATATCCCCTCAAAGGAACTTAATGAGTAAAGAGCTAGAAAAAAATTGTAATATTCTCTTTTTTGACTTTGTTAAGTAGTGCAAGTTAAGACTGTCATTTATAAAGAATTAGCACCCTAATGTATGCATTTATATGGCTTGGTATGAGCAAAAATAATAATAATAATTAACAACAATCATGGATGAAGATTTCTCTTCAGACAATATTTTGCTGACAACACTCGTAGCATAAGCATGTCTCTGTGAAGCAATCAGCAATCATGTTTAAGTATGACAATGATCCTTGACTCTCTCTTTCTCTCTCTCTCTCACAACTTTGTATAATGGTACCAGACCACAAAGGTTTTGTATTTCGTTTTAATTGCACAGCATACTTGATACTTATAATACTTGCACATGTTTAATCCACATGGAGGAAAGATTGGCCACACATGAGAAGATATGTTGAATGTATAAAGTTACACCCTCTTTTATAGCGTAAACTTTTAAATGAGGTAGCTAGAATGTATAATGAAGCAATTTAGGGTTAAGGTTTAGGAGGAAGAAGAAGAGATAAGAGAAGAGAGAGAATTTTTATATATCTTGAATGAATCTATTAATTACATCAGCAAAATAGATATACAAACCCTAATAGAGTGATATGTCCATCGTATCCTCAACTTAAGTAAATATTAACATAAGAACAATAAAATAGAAAATAATAACTATTCAAACACTCCTCCTCACGTTGGAACATAGAGATCAAACATGCCCAACTCGGCAAATAAACGATGAAATGAAGACCGAGCAAAGATTTAGTGAGAATATCACCCAATTGGTCTTCAGAACGAACATAAGAAGTCACAAGTTGCTTGCGGAGTAAGAGATCACAAATGAAATGGCAATCAACTTCTATATGTTTGGTTCGTTCATGAAACACTGGATTGTTAGCAATGAAGATAGCCGCCTGATTATCAGAAGACATACGCATAGGAGTGGGAACAGAAAAGCCAAAACCTTGGAGAAGAGACTGAATCCAGAACTTCTCAGAAGCAGTATGAGCCATGGCAAGGTACTCAGCCTCGGCACTAGAACGAGCAACAACAGTCTATTTCTTGCTACGCCAAATAACAAAATTACCACCAATAAAGGTACAATAGCCGAAGGGGGCGGTCAATCTTATTACCAGCCTAATCAGCATCACTGAAATCGGTGATAGACAACGAGGAAGATGGCCGATAGAGTAAACCCCGACCGGGGGCATTCTTCAAGTACTGCAAGATACAACACACAACAGCAAAATGAGGTTGGCGGGAAGCATGCATAAACTGACTAACCACTCCCACGGCATACGTAATATCGGAATGAGTGACAGTGAGATTGATTAACTTCTAAACCAACCAACGATAACAACCAATATTAGGAAACAAGTCCCCAATTTCACCATTAAGTTTGACACTAGAATCCATGGGAGTATCACTAGGATGAGTGCTTAAGAGGCCAGTCTTAGTGAGAAGATCAAGAACATACTTCCGTTGGGAGAGAGATAATCCTTGAGAAGAGCGAGCAATTTCAATTCCAAGAAAATACCAAAGATAAACCAAGTCTTTGGTGTGAAATTATTGTCCCAAATACTGCTTCAAATCAGCAATACTAGTGGAATCGCTCCCAGAAATGATTATATCATCAACATAGGTAATAAGAACAATACTCTCAATGGACAAGTGGCGAACAAAGACAAAGTGATCAAAGGTGGAACAGCGAAAACCATAGACGATCACAACAGCACTGAAACGATCAAACCAGGCACGAGGGGACAGCTTGAGACCATACAGCCTTCCCTAATCGACAAACAAGATGCTCATGATTGGGAACAACATATCCAAGGGGTTGATCTATATAGACTTCCTCTTGGAGATCGCCATAAAGAAAGACATTCTTGATATCAAGTTGATATAAAGGCCAAGACCTAACAGCAACGGAGAGAAGGATCCGCACAGAGTTAAGACGAGCCACAAGAGAGGAAGTCTCCAAGCAATCAACACCATAGGTTTGTGTAGCCTTTGGCTACCAAGCAAGCCTTAAGCCGCTCAACAATCCCATCAACAAGATACTTAACAGTATAAATCCAACGACAACTCACAATAGATTTGCTAGAAGGTAGAGGAGTAAGTTCCCACATCTGATTCTTATGAAGGGCATGCATTTCCTCATCCATGGCATGCTTCCAACCAGAGATGGACATAGCTTGTTGATATGAACGGGGAATGGTAATACTAGACAAGCTACAAGCAAAGGAATAGAGACTAGGAGAGAGGCGAGCATGAAAAACAAAATTAGCAATAGAACATTGAGTGCAGGTATGTTTACCTTTGTGAAGGGCAATAGGACGATCATCAGAAGGCACATCAGTAGATAGAACAGGGGAGTCAGGAGCCTCAGACGAAGGAGATGAACTGGTCAGGCCATAAGACACAATGTGACAAGCTTGAAACCGCTGATAAACCAGCAAAGGAGGGGTAGAGGCGATACTAGAGGGAGAAGATATAGAAAGGGAAGAGGAAGGATCACAAGACAGAAGAGTAGAGGTGAGGGAGGCCGGCTTCCCCTCACTACAAGAAAGAAGATCAGTAGATAACTGTTGCCCAGAGAAGGAGAAAAAAGGAATGGACTCAAAAAAGGTAACATCGACACTAACAACGTATCAACGTGACTCAGAATGATAGCACCGATACCCTTTCTGAGTACAAGAGTAGCCTAAGAACACACATTTGCGAGCACGAGGAGAATGAGAAAACTTATCCAAATCGAGGTCAAGAACATGAACAAAGGAACACATCCAAAAACACAAGGTGACAAGGGAAAAGGAGACGATGTGGGATATAACTGATAATATGAAGACGTGTGTACAACACTGGAGGGCATGCGGTTAATAAGGAAACAAGCCGTGAGAACATCACCTCAAAATTGTTTGGGGACATGTATATTAAACATCAGTGTGCAAGCAACATCTAACAAATAACGTTTTCGCTCTGTAACACCATTTTGAGATGTATGAGAACAACTAGTTTGATGAATAATACCACGAGTATCACAAAAGGTAGTCACAATATACTACACATATTCTAAGACATTATCAAACAGAAATATCTTAATACGTTTCCCAAATTGAGTAAAGATCTCATTATAAAACTTAGAGATGATAGAAGGCAAATCAGATCTCTATTTCATTAAAAATAACCAAGTCATCTGAGAGTAATCATCCACAAAAATAACAAAATAAAAAAAAAATCATTAACAATGGGAGTTTTTTAAGGACCCTAGATATCTGTATGGACAAGAATAAACGACTCAAACACACGACTAACACTACGACTAGGAAAAGAACTACGATGATGCTTTCCAAGTTGACAAACTTCACACTCAGTCTTAGAAACATGACTCAAACCAAGAACCACTAACTTGAGCTTGGCCAAAGAGGGATGACCCAAGCCAAAATGCCACAGAAGAGGAGGTATAGTAGCGCTCAACACAGTAGATTGAGGAGGAGGAGAAATCTCAGTGTCCAAAAAATATAAGCCATCCTTCTCATGCCCCGAACCAATCATCCTCGTAGTCTGGAGGTCTTGTAAAACACATGAAGTGGGAGAAAAAGTTATTGAACAGTGGAGAGCTTGAGTTAATTGGATAACATAAAGCAAATTAAATAGAAACTTGGGAACATAAAGACCAGAGGGTAAGGAAAAGGATGAAGAGGACCTTGACCACTGACAGGTTGAGAAGATCCATCAGCAAGTATAACAGTATGATCAACAGGCCTAAGAGTATCAAAAAGAGAGGAATTACCAGAGATATGAGAACTAGCACCATAGTCTAGAAGCCAAGGCTGAGTAGACTTGGCCACACATGCAACATTACCTGAACTAATCATAATAGCAGTAGAGGATGAAGGCAGATTAGGCCGGAGAGACTGAACAAGAGTGGTAAGCTCACTAATCTGAGTCTTGAGAATCAACTGGAGAAGCATAGTGAGAGTCTCATGAGAATCAACCGGAGAAGCAACAGAACTAATGGAAAACAAGGATGACTGTGAGGATGGAGCATCCACAACCTGATGTACATGATCAGGTTTACCATACTTCTGCCAACACCAAGGTTCAATATGACCTTGGGAACCACAATAAATACACTTGCGATCACCAAGTTCACTACTACCGCCTCCACGTGAACCACCACCACAAAATCCCCCACCACGGGAACCACCTCCACGAGAACCTTGTGAACCAGAATAAGAACCTCATGAACCAGAAAAGCCATGAAAACCCCTGCGAGTAGACCCTCGATCACCACTACTAAAGACCACGGCAGAAGAAGACAATGTAAAGGACCTAGATGGGGGTTGGGACTGGCCCAAAGAAGAATGTAACATCCAAGAATAAGCATTAGCAGCAGACGGTAAAGTCTCACTGGCAAGAATCTGATCCTTGAACCCCCTCAATTCAGGATCTAAGCCAGAAAGTAAGGAAGTCATCATAAATTCCTCTCAATGTTGCTTCTGTTTGTTCACATCAGTAGTGAAGGGCCGATGCTGCAATAACTGATCCCACAAGGTCTTAACTACTATAATACTTGAGAAATGACCGGCCAGATTGGCGCATAGCAAAAATTTACTCATATAACTCAGACCTGAGTGACATTACTCTTATTCGAAAAAGATTCAACAAGGGAATACTAAATTTTAGGTATCACAAAATTCTACGGTAGTAGCAACATGTGGTTCTAGAC